ATGACAAAAAGCCGGATGTTAATGTAAGGTATCGTTGATTTTATGACAATCTGGATAAGTGCCTTGTCGCAATTTCTTATTGTTTGGCTATATAAATTTAGCAGGGCAATAAACAATAGTATTAATATATTATCCTCCCAACCAGGAAATGGTTTTGTCTTTGCATTAGAAAACACTTGTTATGAAGCTTTATAGCAATAACAAGGTCAGGTTGGTAATAAAGAGAATATTATTCATGTCTATAAGACTTGGGAGCAGGATAAGTATCCCGATGTAACTAACTAGTATTCAAAGGAGAGATAAACGAATCCTCATGCTGCTACATATTTTATCGAAAAATAACCTATTTCCATAAGTATCGTCCATTTGGATTTCAGCAATGTCAATTCTACGATTAGTTTAATACGTTCAAAATATCTTCCTAGATTACATCAATGTCTAAGATCATAAATTACAGCGTTGTATCTACAACATATATGGACACCGGGATTATTAATCGTAAATGGTGCTATATCATGCAACGTCCGCACTTCTCCTGACGTCAACCCATCTAGCAAAGCTGCCACCCATTCAGCTCACCAATCTGGAATTTGGTCAAAATCATATCCTTCGTATCCCTTGTATGCATAATATGCCAGTCGCACATGGTAAAAGCCTGAAATGCGAGTTTGTATTTAGAATCATCAGCGTATTAATCAAATTTCGCGCGTAATGTCCAAATACTATTAAATTAGATCTCTGTCATTAGCATATAGCCTGCCACTAATACTTACCAGGAATAAATAACAACGCTCCAAGGAATAGGAATGGTTTCCCTCTATCCAACCAACTCTATATTGAACAAGAGACGTTTAATATTATTTAATCCTATACATCAGCAACCGGAGTAATCGACTCATAATTCTGATAAACGAGTACATAATACGCTAACAATCACAAATATAATACAATTAAAGCACTCTCAACTTGTTATCGTGTTTACCTCGTCAGAAATAACACCAGCAACAAGAAGAGATCCAAATACAATGCCTAGAGAGCCCAAGACGAACAGAGCTGTTGCCAACATAATAGAACTCCACGGAACTATTCACAATAGCAAATGTCCGATGTATTAGTAACGAAACAAACGAATACAAGTCAAACTCAATTGTAAATCTATTCGCTCGCAGACGCCTGCGTACTTGGTGGTTCAGGTCTCTCGAACTGTGCAGCAACGAAATCCTGGTCACCCAATTGGATGTACCCCTGATTATTGCGGAAGGGACGCAAGTCTTGAAAACGCCGCATATTGGATTGAGAGTAACGATAACAAAGATTCTATATATTATTTTACGAATTCTTGGGGAAGAGATTTAGTGTGTAGCGTGTGGTGAACGCAGTTTGACGGCATTATTCCGAGCAATTTAATCATGTGAGACGAACGATGTATATTTCGGGGTTTTCTGCTAAAACTAATGAGTTTCACGATATAATGGGAACGCCAACTGATTGGTTGCCCTACGTCATAAATGACAACAGTATTATCGTCTTGACTACGTCTCAAATTATTTTTAATAGCGGGCATTATATAACTCGTTTTTGTTAAACTGCGCTTAATTATGTATAGTAATATAGAGAATTCTTTGGTTATAACGAGTCGCCAGACCGCGTGAGCGACATTAGTTTAATGACAGTGTAAGTGTACTGTACTTATAAAGCTTCGAATAGTCGCATACACCGGTCAATGACGTCTTTCTTATGTTTATTCTGTTCTTTATAAATTAGGAGGACATACATATGACAGTTGTTTACGAACACTTTCTTTTTCCCCGCATCTAATAGAATTAATTCTTATAACAATTCATAGCAGTATGTCGATATGCTATGACCCGCTCAAAATTCTAGGACTGAGATAACTTACGGTAAACTTGATTAAAATTTTCTTTTACGCATTAAAAGTTATAAACTGTTTCCAAAGACATTGACTACGGTGGAAATGTAAGTGAATTAGTCTATTCTAATTATAACAAAAATAGGAATTAATTAGTCAAATTAGAGCTAACCTTGAGCAAGCCACTTAGTTATAAAAATACCTAGTGTTGGCTTATTAACGACTACTTTAACGAATAGACAAAAACAAGGAGGAAGTCCGTACCAATACTGAATTTGTATAATAAATATAGTAAATAAGCAGTAATGTTGTAGATACGGCATTACTGCATCTGCAAACCAGTTAGAATACCTATTAAAAGGCACCAGAATAATTCTTTGCGACAATCTAAGCAATTATTGCTATGGAAGTTGTAAGAGTGAGAATTCCTTGTCCTCATTCAAAGAATTTAATCTCAGATTCCATGCTGAAAGTGTTTAAAACGCAACAAACAAGCTGTTTCTTGCTAACAATTTAAACTTTGAATAAATTTTATGACACAATTACTGTATATCAAATAAACGGACAGCTGCAACAAACCAGACAAATAACAAAAGGGAATATTTAATTATATGAACTAAAAAATGACAAATGTGATGGAAAATCAACTGAGGCTTTGGGAAGGACATTGGTTTAGTAGCACAAGACATAATTATAAATCATCTTAATATTGTTATGGCAAATATAATTATGACTTTTTTTTAATTGAAACTGGCACTAAAAATTATAAAATTATGCCCAACTAATATTAATATATAAATATAAACTGTTAGTAATTTTAGAATTATGAAAAGATTATATATCAAATTCGACTGTAAGGCAGGAAACTGCTTCATTAGCTATATTAATATCATGTATCCTAAAACCTTCCACGATAATGATGTTAATTTTGACTTGTTTAAACAACTCTATTTCTAACATAGTCAA